AAGTGAATTAATTCATTGATACACTAATAATTAATTATATTTTTATAAATTACTATTCAATAATTTGGAAGAAAAAAAAAATGATCTAAAAGGAAAAATAATTTTATAATCTAAAAAAAGTAAATATTCATTTTTTATTAATATCCTTAAAATTTATTTTTATTCATAAAAATAGTTTTTAAAATCTTCATATTAATCTCATGAGGTTCTTTATATTTAATTGACAGACAGGTATATTTAATTTATTCAAATTATTATTATTATTATTTTATATTTAATTTTCATTCTATTTACAGTATTATTTTTATATTAGAAATTCTCATTGTCATTCATTTTTAATTTAACTTAATTTTCACTCAATTTTTAATTTTTTAAAATTTATTATTTTTATAAATTTATTTTTTCCATAGCTCTACATTTTTTATTAATTAGTAAAAATTGCAGATTAATTGGATTTATTATGTTTTTTTTTCTACTATCTATTATTTTTTACTCTATTAATTTAACTAATTTTTTCATTTTGAATATTTGATTTTATTATTCATTAATTAATTTATTTTTATATTATCATATTTTTCTTCTAATTAACTATATATGTTTTCTTCAATATTTAATAAGGTCTTCATCATTCTTATGCTCTTTTTTAGGAAAGTTCCTTAATCTCTTGAAAATTACACATGATCTGTAAAAATCATTTATTTGTTTTAAATTTTGATGTTTTTTAATATAAAAATGAATTTAAAACAATTTAGCAAACTAACTCTTTTAATTTATTTATTAGCTTTGTATTTGATTTGTTTTTCTTTTTAATGCTGCTTATGTTTTTTCCAGTGTTTTTTATTTGTTAATTTAATTCATTTTATTCTCAATTTTAACTTTAATTAATTAATTATTTGATTTTATATTTTTTCTTAATTTTTTCCTTGGAACTAAATAATTAACAATATTTTGTCTTCAAAATTTAAAAAGTGGCAATAAAATTGGTGACTAAGGTGCATCAGACTTAGGTTCTGGTTTAGGAAAGTGTACTAATCTCTCAAATTTGACACTTAATCTTAAGTATAAACAGTTTACTTGTTGATTGCAATTTTTTTAATATAAAAATGAATTTACAACAATTTAGCTAGCTAACTCTTTTAATTAATTATTTATTTATTAGCTTTATATTTGATTTCTTTTTCTTTTTTATTCTGCTTATGTTTTTTTACTTTGTTTTTTATTTGTTAACTTAATTCATTTTTCTATTTTATACTTTAACTTGAATTAATTATTTAATTCATTACTTATTATTTTATATTTTTTCTTAATTTTTTCCTTCGAACTAACTAATTAACAATATTTTGTCTGTCTTCAAAATTTAAAAAGTGGCAATAAAATTGGTGACAAAGGTGCATCAGGCTTAGGTTCTTGTTTAGGAAAGTGCACTAATCTCTCAAATTTGACACTTTATCTTGGGTATAAACAGTTTACTTGTTGATTGCAATTTTTTTTAATATAAAAATGAATTTAAAACAATTTAGCTAGCTAACTCTTTTAATTAATTTATTTATTTATTAGCTTTATATTTGATTTCTTTTTCTTTTTTATTCTGCTTATGTTTTTTTACTTTGTTTTTTATTTGTTAATTTAATTCATTTTTCTATTTTATACTTTAACTTGAATTAATTATTTAATTCATTACTTATTATTTTATATTTTTTCTTAATTTTTTCCTTGGAACTAACTAATTAACAATATTTTGTCCGTCTTCAAAATTTAAAAAGTATCAATAAAATTGGTGACGAAGGTGCATCAGGCTTAGGTTCTGGTTTAGGAAAGTGCACTAATCTCTCAAATTGA